CCCCCACCACAGGCAAATAGAAGCGATTTTCAAGAAGTGTAGTAGTGGCCGAAGGCGCAGGGACATGAGCCTTAGGGGGCGAGCGCGGATAACGGCGGTCTACAACGACCCTATATAACGCCTCATCTCGAGTCTCCTACATATCACCATTAACTAGCAAACTGCGGATATAGGAGGAATATTGTTGGTGATTAATCAATGAGAGCGTGGACCCCAACAGATTATCACTAGCGCATGTTCATGGCATATTTAATCATTATCAGCGGCTGAGTGACGTGCTACCGCCCTTATTTCCTTCCGCCGTCTTGTCGAATCAAATCTCCGTATCCCTACAAACTAGGTACCACAAAGCCACCCACCATGCAAACTCAGTATGAACAGTTGGAGGGAACGAGTAAGCATCTGTATATCAGAGTGGTCGTATTTTAACTCTTGATAGGTAATGCATTGATGTTCCCGCCACATAGGGCACCGTCAGCAAGCTTTGGCTGCTGCATATAGGATGCTAAGCACGGCACTTGGGATCCAAGCCGCTGTGCTTGTAGATACTATAGAGTATATGGGGTGACATGTTCATAGAGACGATAGGCATGGGCTGCGCGATTTATGCAGAACAGGGAAATCCGCCCATCTAGCATTAGTGCCCTTTGGGCGTAGCGCCTTCGGGATGAACCTCTCCCCTTGCCCAATGAAGGAAAGACCAACCAATCACCCTCCCCTCCAACGCCCCCGTGCTAAATGCTCACTCCACCAGATCAACATCTTTCAGTTGTCTCTTCACATTTACACGTTGCCTAATTATTCCAAAATACGATGGCTTACAGTCATCGCCTCGGATCTGCAGCCTCCCGCGGATTTTCGGCCACAGCAGTGAACCGTTACCAGTACGATTATCGCAAGGCGCTTGCAATTGCGGGCCCGCTCCTGAAAAAATCAGATAAAAGAAGTCATTTGAATACGAACAAAGGCACCGTAACTTCGAAACAACCGTTACCACTAGCCCTTGACCTGAAACCTCCGGTGCTGGACCCGCTCCAGCGTTCCTTGGCTGAGATTTTGGATCATTTCGGGTCCACGAAGTTAGGTGAGCAGGTGACAGCAGTCGATCCTGTGAATCAGCCAGAAATCAGCAACGAGGCGAGTCTCATGTGAGCACTGTATCATGCCTTTTAAATAATATTTCGGCTGAACGAAGATATCTGGTGTCCAGCGAGGAAGCTGGTCCGTACTTCTTTCAAGTCGCCAAGCACTTGTTGCCAGATTTACTTCGAAGTCTTGGGTACGACAAACCACTTGAAATCTGTACCGAGCCACAGTCCTCCAAATCATCTGTTCCGGACAAGGTCATCAAGTACGACCACAAACCCATTTTAGTTCTAGACTATAAGGGACCGAACTGCATATTTGAAGACGAGCTAGAGCTGTGCTCAGCCGAGACCGAAGAAATTGCTCGCGAAAGACTTCAAGAGACCGAGCTCGATCGCGCCAGAACAGACCTCGAAAACCCAACCGATAGCTTGCTGTTTTCACCAGGCGTCACAAAAGATACCGTCAGATTGATCCAGCAAGGCGTGAAGTACTTCCGAGCCACCAAAGCACCCATGATTTTATTCTACGATTATGACATTTTATTGGCTTTAGAAGTACCATCAACATTGTTAGATGGGGCTTCGGACGTGTTAATTGGCACGACTGTATGGAAAGAGCCTCAAAAATCAACAGAAGACGAACCAGTGCCATATGCGAACAATCATGTTGCCGTCTTACTGCGTATGGTCATTCGAGCAATTGAGATATCTACAAATTAGATCAGCTGCTATGAAACTATCATCTCTAGGTTCCATACCGAGTGTCGCACAAAGAATCGCCAAATATTGAATTTATACATGTTGGGCCCGCAATCCAGACTCAAAAGTGGACTTCATACTCCTATCATGTGATGCAAGGAATGACTGCTAGGCATCAAAGGTGGTAGTGAAAGCATTGATATTCATAGGAATCAAAGCTTGATATGCTAATTTCATCACATCAACGATGTTTTATCTATTCTCTCGCCCTGTATGTCACGCTGATAACACAATTCGTGATTTACCTCGACTTCTTGAATTTTGCGCTGCGCATTGGTTCATACAGAGAGCTTGGATTTCGTCCTTCACTTTATATCCTGTCTTTGGCATACTCGTTCTCCAGCCAGTCATCCCACGGCCAATCTATTAACCAGGCAAAGTCAAGCATACAGTCCCGCAGATCCTTGTCAGACCATCGCTTGATTATTATGGATCTTGACTCTGGCAACATCGTTGGCTGGTGCTGTTCTTGTATACGCTTGCCACATTCAGCCATGTCGAAGTCGATCAAGCGAATATCCGCCTTCTCTCCCTCTTTGGCAGATATGACAATGACATTTCGCGGATCCAAATCGCCATGAGCTACGTTGAGTTGCCGTAATATGCTATGGGCATCCAGTACTGCCGACATGATGGCCTTTCGTTGTGACGAACTATAATCTTGAATCTCAATATCCTGGAGCGAAACTCCTGGGACGAATTCGTACAGGATCGCTCTGACAGGCCGGAAAACGGAGGGATTGCCTGGGAGCGGAACATCAATACTGTATGATCCAAGAAAGCGAGGAACTACAGTTCCATATACGGGCTTCAGGTGGTGATAAGCCAAGGTCTCGTGAGCAAAGGCTGCATCGCAATTTGCGAAAGGGTCGGGGTGTTCTGTATCGAAATCATAGTACAACGGATCATAGAATTTGACGGTGATACTGGTGGGGATTGGCCCCTCCAGTGGCTGGGGATCCTTTTCCTGGTTGCTCAAGAATTCAGCCTGTACTATTTGTGAATTGGCGCCGTCATGTACTCGTACATGGCGTTTGATTCTTAACCCTATCATCCTGTTCCTGGGGTGGCCCTCCGCAGGCAGATTTTCCAGACATAATTGAAGAGGATGTATCTCTCGAATATCCTTCTCAATCTTTCCACGAGCCCATGTATAGTAAAAATTCGGCGGCTTTGGCGGTGTATAAGCCTGCGCTTTGATGGTTGTTCCCGGCTGATATGGAATGGATGGTTTTGCTTCATTTGGGTGCGTAGCCAAGTAACTGTATCCCCACGTTGACATGCTGGATGAGAGTTGTACCCGCCCCATACTTCCACAGCAGAACCTTGACAAGTGTTGCCGCGACAGCATTATTCGTCCCTTGGAAGTTGGCAAGGAATAAGAAACGATGAGCCAAGGCGCAAATGGTTGATGGATGGTGGTGTTGTAAGATGAAATCTGCATGGGTCGTGAGACTAGTGCCTGAGTACCATGACCGAAGATTGGCCGAAATTGGGCTAGACACAGAGTGCGGCGCAAGCGCCAAGGCCAGCGCCTTTTTTCATGATCTTCGTTTGTGCTTACCTAAATTTCTTGCGATAACTTAGCTCAATCCACTAGTGGGCGAAGTGCATTTGCCTTCGCAGCATCGGCTACCAGCTCAGACGGATTGTTCCACGAACCCCAACCCCAACCCCGCCGCGGGGGGTGGGCTGTTGATACGGCTTTCGCGTATAGGGCCGTTGTCGTCTTGAATCCCGTTTGTGTCACCTGGGGAAACCCAGCACAGTAGTAGGCACAGGATTGACAATAGACCTCTGTAGTTGGAAATTCCTATCGTCTTGAACAAGGGACCCTGTATCGTTACGCCGCCTGTGGCCACACCTGAGCTCCCGCAGACCCTCCACTGGTGCGGACTACACGTTGCCGTATGGCGGCGTATCTCTTGAACCTTTGGCGAGTGCGGACATGTACGGTGGCTATGATCAGCCCTACTCAGATAGCGTCGTAGGTGGTGTAAGAAGCGCGGAGTGCGACTACGTCTCCTTCCCTGCTCGTTGGCCGCCTCAAATACGTCCATATATAGTAGGCACATCGTCGACCATTCCAGATTTCTTTTCGTCCGTCCTTTATTAACCTCTTCTCCCTAAACTTCTTCGCTAAGAATATAGCATCATGTCAAGCATTGTTCCCATACAAGGCCTCAAACAGCATTGTTGGGGGTTTGAACACTTCGTATGCGTCGCGCAACTGTCAAAGTATGCTCTTTCGTGGTTTCGAGCTCTAATCTCAGTCTACTTGACAATTTCATGTGCTGTTTGCATCATGGATCTTCTTTAGCTTCAATGAACGATTGAACGTATATCGATGTGCAGACCTGACAAATATTCTCTGCCACAGTATCCAAGAACGATGCCAAGGCATCGGCCAGCTCTGTGTTCCACTCCACCCCCATATTTCAGCGCGTTCAGCGGCTTAGTGCGTGACTGCGATACAGATCGCTGAGATCACCCTACCCAACATGTCTATTCGATAAAACAATTGAGCTTGGCTGACCTGCCGTACGACGTTCAGCCATTTCACCGTCGCGGAGTCATCGTATTGGTAACTTGAGCAAGCGTTTCTACCATAGGGAGTGCCGAGCTATGGGGTTCGCACAGCAAGGACGGACGATTTACGACGTACTGTCTACTTCAGGCGTTGAGTCGGGAAGAGACAGCGTTGACAAGCCATCTCGCAATAGCTGATGCCCAGCCAAACACAGGCCGCATTCTCAAAGCAAAGCCGACCACCATCTATGGTAAGGCGATTGTGGCAACCTGGCAGACCCTCGCAGTCATCGCAGCAAATAAAGCCAGTTGCCAGCCATCATATTGCTTTTTGGCTTGGCGGACATCAGATCCATTCACCTGTGAAGAACTTTCTGTTGCGCACAGGATAACGTGGGATCAGGCTCGCGCCCACGGCAATTACCTGACGCCTCCAGGCCTCCGCAAGCCGCATAGGCGAAATTGAATAGGATGACTGCAGTCAATCCCAGTACACTGATGTGCAGGCGATCCATGATTGAAAGGTGCACTTTTGGCGAAGCCATAGATTGGTCAGGCGGGAAAGGCAATGAAGGCATCTACAGAGGAACTACTCCATGCCTCACGACAGCTCCTACAACGTGATGATTGACAGAGTATCTTGCGGCTACGAAATGTACGAGACGGACCAGGAGAGCATGTCGCGCGGCAGTGCCACCGGTACCCTTGGGACTCCTCCCACCAGAAGCGCGAATACTAAACGTGAGGGTGGGAGACAGGACTATTTGATCACTTCATACGTGACAAACAAAGAGTGATCAAAGAATAATAAGTGTCTTTCAGTCTCGACTTCATTCGGTTATGTAGCTATTGATAGTGACCGCCATCTAGTGAGTTTTATGTATGAGGCCAGGTAGATGCAACACTCAGCATCCATGCCCCTGCTGTTCATTGTTTCTGATCATTTCTTGAAGTCCATAGGATATGGCATGATCGCCGACCCTGCAAAATGCATACCGCCTAGTGGCGCACTCTGAGCAGACGATCTAGTATCACATGTCAGTGAAACGAAAATACTGTTGAATGCCGGGAGACTAACGCATTGGCAGTGTCGATGCGCAAAAGCCAGAAAACAACCCATCCGCTGCTGACATGCGCAGCACTGGCTCAAGTGTTTCGAGGCCAGTTTCTTGGATGGAGGAGAGGCTGGCTCATAGCTCCGCCCAGCGAGCGACAGCAGCTCCATACGGGCTATAGCCTCATGCCGAGCTTCTAGGCTTTTATGAACGTCGTGAAAGATGTGGCGGATCAGGTTCGTCAGAGTGCGCCGAGATTGCCACAGGGTCCGGTCATAGTTTGACATGATATCCTGACAGTGATTGACGTTGCCAGGCTCATGGACTTGGCTCGGACGATGCACCTCCACCGAGCTGAGCTGGCCAAGAAAATAGTTACGGGCCGCTACTGCCATATATATAATGTTGTTACTGTTATTATCCATCCTGATTTCTGGTTTAGGTCGATCGGATAGAGTACAGTGTCCCATGTCTAAGGCGTTTGGGGACATCCGTGCGTGTATAGGCTGTTCTTAAAGAGGCTCGCCACGAAAGGAAAAGGGAAGAGATTACGCTGCAGCATACATACTGTACTGCACCACTGAAATCTTCAGTCCTTGCCGAGGTGTAGAACAAGCGGCATGGCAAGGCGAGATACTGTGCACGTCCGTTCTCCGGCACTAACTTGAGTGTATTTTGCTACCTTCATTCGAATCGTGTTGGTCGGTCACAAAACGGTTCCCGAAGCGCCTGCATTTCCCGTTCTCAACCTGTCTGTCAAGAGCAGCTCCACGTCGTGTCACAAGCCGCCCAAGGACACTTCTGTAAACTAACGCGGCCGAAGCATCGGTGGCTAGAATTGTCTATGACGCCTCGCGTCAAGCAGGCCGCTAGGTCCACAAATGAACAGAAAGGGACATGTCCTGGAACGAGGTCGGTCTGTCAGGAGAGTGACCAAAAGGAGTTTCGCCAAGTTGCCAGTGGACGGATGCGCCCTAGTGGCTGTAGGCTGCAGGCAACCTTACGTACCTGCGCCAGATCAGGCCCCGCAGGCAGTTGCAGCCCCACGGACTTGGACCACCATAGCGGACCACCTTCAATCGACTTCAATTCGTGGCAGGAATTTGACATCCAGACAGGGCTCTTTCTGTTCGCTCCTCACATGAACTTGCGCCACCCTACAGAACAACAACTGCAGGCCATTTCGTGCGTACGGCCACTTCCTCGTCAACGTGCCATGGTCCGTTTATTCACCTCTTTCGGTCCTTGATTCTCGACCTGAGGTGCATCACGTTGTAGACGCGCGAAACAGACTTTGGGCTGGTTCGTGCATCGCGTTCGAGTGGGCCAAAAGACGGTTCTGGAGTCACTTTAGTCCCTAGACACGCCCCGCAGATGACAGCCAGGGGAAAGTTCGGTCCGCAGCTGATTGCAGCCAAGGGATGGTTCAATCCCACGACCGAGGCTATGCCCGCAGTCGGTTCCAGCCATGGGACGGTTCGGTCCCAAGGATCCCTTTGACCATGTGCCGCTTGAGCTTAATCTGACATTCCATGGACCAAGAATTTGCCCTTCGGCCAGCGATTGGTTCCCAAACTGCGCGGCTAGTTGCAGACATGCCCTGATGACATTTCCTGTCATTGGCGAGGCAGCACAGAAGCAGACCTGGTCATTTTAGGTCACATTGCAGCACTCGGACGTTTACCTCATCATCCGAGCCCATGGTGAATGTTGCTTGGAGGATGCGAAGACGAATCGGCAGGTTTGTGGCATAGCGGTTAAGTGCTTATAACAAGTCGGACACTTGCCGCCTCCGGGTTCTTCCAATCGCGGGCCATTCGCGCAATTCTATCTGCCGTCCATTCCCTTCGGCATCCAAGCTCAAATACAATACGGCACAGCACGTGCACAAAGCCACTGTCTTGGTACCAATCGAGCCTTCGCCCAGGGCCAGACGAGGCACGACACAACACGACACGATAGATACCATCGGATACGATATTATCTAAATGCGTCTCGCGGCGCAGCCACCATCCACCGATCCCGCTGCTCGTCAACCGTGCCGCCCGTTGGCCACACCCACACCCACACCCACACCCACACACACACACGGCACGCGTCGCCACCACCGGCTACCCAATCTACACGAGCCGGCGTTTCGTAGGACTGCCCATTCTGCCCATTGAACTACCAGGCTCCAACATAGCTCCCGCGACCGACCACGTCTCTGCTCTTGCCGTCTCTGCCGCGGCGTGCAGTCGGCGCCTCAACTAGTCCTAGGCCGACGGACTGGCGACCAAGGAGTGCCTGAGCTCTGCACGCCCTCAAGAATGCTCTGCCAGTCTCAACCGAAGAGATAGTACAATAGCCTATCTGAATGCCATCAGATATGATACGCGGCGTCGTCATGCCTGCAAGCGGTGGCGCCGTGCCCAGTTATCCTCGCGAAGAGTCCAAGACGAGCACGGGTACAACGCTCCCCCCACTGTCCGGCATGGAGATTGGAAATATTGGGCGCGCCAGGAGCGTACACGTCCCGGACGGCTTTGGCAGTGGTATCTTGTCGTAGTCCCCGCAGCTGGCACAGAAGCACGAGTACGACCAGAATAGCGTCTGAGCATTCTCGTCACATCGTCAGACGCAGTCAAGCCGGAGCGATTCCCATCCCGACACGGCCTCCCAGCGCTGGGACATCCTAAACCCGACTACCGAAGATGACAACCACGAGGAGTTCTTCTTGTGGGGCACGGCGCCCGGTCTTGTTGGGCACCGGCGGAGGATTAGCAAGCTGCTTCGGTCGTGCTTTACGGGCAGGCGACCGCAACCCCGCGGCCAGAAATATCAGGCGGACAAGATCGATCGGCCGTACGACCCGGCCGACTGCGAGGTGCTCCCGGCCTACAGGGAATCGAGCGACGAGTACGACTCCGAGACCTGGGAGGAGATCCAGCAGGAGCAGATCGAGCCCGCGCGAGCTTGTGCCCCAGACAACGCGCCCCTGTCCGAGGAAGAGGTCGGAAGCATACTCGACTCCTGCGTCAAGGCGTACCAGGCGGACTGGTACCACGATAAGCTACCCAATCTAAAGAGCTTGGCACAGCTCGCGCCGTCGTCCACGCAAGCACAGCGCCTCCTCCACCAGGAACACGACCACCCGGTCCACATAATCGCCCAGCTTCGACGCAATCTATTTGCTCCCAGAGCCCCCTGGACCCGCGTGGCGAGGCTGGTGGAGGCCGCCGTCGTCCTGCGACCTAGCGTCAGGGACTTGCTCAAGGTCGAGTGGCGGCTGGGCTACCCCCAGCCGCCGTCGCCCGCGAGCGCCTGCGACAGCCTGTGTGCTGCCGGCGACGAACACGATCAGGACGGCGAGGAGATAGAGAGCGACTTGGAGGACTGCGACTGCAGACGAAGGCCCGCCGCCCCAGGGAGCGCCCGCGCACCCACGCCCGACGGCCCGCCATCGCCCCCGCGCCCCCGTGCCCTGCCTAGACCCGACCCCATGGTGATCGACTTGACGGGCGACAGCGACGAGGAGGCCCCCCCCCGCCCCTAGCCTCCACAGAGTCCAAGGACAGCGCCCCCGACGATGCCGAGACGAGCCAGGCGGAAGCCCTGGCCGGGCGTTTCGCGAACCGCGGCATCTCCGACAAGGACTGGGCGAGCCTCTGCCGGCTCTTCCAGATGGACGCCAACGCCGAGGCGCATCGACGTCCAAAGCGAAACTCCTTTTGATCACTCTCCAGACGGACCGACCTCGTTTCAGAACGTCTTCAGACGAACGTGACGCGGCTGTACGAATGTGGTCACGAGGCAGGTTCTGGCACGGCGGCTAAGGGCGATTCGACGCTCGCAAGCAAGCAATCTTTTCGTGCCCCTCCCACGACTGGGTGTAGTCGTGTCGACAAGATACCTGCATGCTGCCAGAAGGCAGGAACAATGCCCAGAGCAGCGCCAGGCTCCTCTCCTGGCACACCGGTGATAAGCGCCGGAAACCGGACGACGGCAAATGACACTCCCGTTAGCGTCGGAGAACGGATGAGTACGATATTGTACCCTCCCATGCCGTCGGATACACACCTCGGCAATGACTGAAGAGCCCACTGACGGGTATGCTACAGCTACGTGAGCCCTTCGATGGTCGCTTGTATCTAGCCTAGGATAAGACTTAGACACAGGTTTACTAGATAGAAGATGTAAACACGTCCTTCAGCTGTTCCTCTTACGTTCTACTCTCTATTCACCCTCTGGGGTCGATGCCTGATTGATACCAAGGCAGACCCTAGACCGGAAGGATACTCATGATCTGGAGGCGTTGAAGGCAATCCGAAAAAGCTGATTAGGGCCGCTTCTTTCTTGTTGGCAGCTGGAAGTCATCATCAGCAGCAGCGGCTTCTTCGGCAACTTTCTCCTCATCGAGACGGAATTGAGTTTCATCGTCGGACAATAGACGATCAGGTGAGCTAGATACCGGAGCAGGCCTCCTTCTCTTCCGGCTCGATCTGACTCCACCATCTGTAGCATGTTCTCTGGCGGTTTGCATCCCTTGCGCCTGAATGAGAAGCTCTGCAAGCCTTGCATATGTTATTTGCAGTCCTGTCGCTCCCAGCCCTTCACAAAGCTCGTCCGGCGCGAAATCCCTCAACGCCAGTCCAACTACCTGCGTCGAGTTCACAAGACTACCATTGGAAGATTGAAATGGCTACCTGAGTTAGACCCGTCCACATAAGTGTGCCTCATCACATACCTGATAAGCAATCTCTTGTTCGACATCGAGAACATCCTCATCATCTTCGCGGACATATTTAGCCCGCCATAGTGATACCGTCGATGATTTCGACACGTCGTTGATGTCAATTCCGATGACAACTTTGATGTCGCCGTTCGAAAGCTGTATATATTGCCAGGCCAATTTTCCGAGGTCTTTGCCATCTTGTGAGTAGGATATCTCCACCACCACGCCGGGATATGCTGCCTTCTGATGCTGAAACTGACCATCTGGATGTCGTTGCCACGCACAGCCGACATTGCTGGTTCCCTCCTCTTCTGTGTCTTCCTTTAAGAGTATTCGGGACGAGGCTCCATTCCTGATTTGTGCCGCGAATTCCCCAGCCGCACCTGTTTGTGCAGCGATACGTTTAATGTTTTCGTATATCTCATCGGCAACGGACGCAGATAGGAACTCGTGGATTGGAGTAGGCATGCGGATAATGAGGTCTTGGGATTGCGGATCATAATCCACCCTGCAGCATATTAGTCTGGTGAAATCAAGTGCAACCGAAGGTTTTACTCACCGCACCTTGTCTTTGACGTATGAATCCAACGACGGGTCACCGCTGAGTGCAGCCTTTAGCTGATCAAACTGCGGTGGTGATAACCTGACTGAAGCCTCTTGCGCGTCTAGGGAATTATGTTGATGGTTCTCGAAGATTTTTAACAAGCCCTCCACGCTAGGATCTGAGAGCGTGCGTCGCTCAACTGAAGCTGGAGGAGTCAATAGCAGTGCACCGCGCCTTTCTGGGGGAGTGCCCGCAATGGCTCTCTGGCCGCCCTGTGTGAAACTGGGCAAAAAGGCCGGGCTGGCCATGTCCGAATGATTGTGGACGAAGGTGGGAAGCAGTGTATACAGCAACTCATCTGCAGCTATGCGTCCGCTGGTTGCCTAAGCGCGGCCTCGGGAAAACGTAGATCCGATCAAGCCCAAGGAGGCTGATAGCCGAATGTCGAGCTTGGGAATCTTTGTTTCAAGCATTGATCTCGAACGGCCTCGATACTTATCGCGCCGCCTTGAAGTTCTCTGTTGTTTTTGACTCGGATACGCGGTTCCGATGGCCAAAACTTCTGGCAAGGGAGAGAGAGATTTATTCCGGCTGCAGTTGCCTGCGGGGCATGATCTGGCGCCGGCACGGAAAGTTGTGCAACTGGTTACAGCCACTGGGGCGCCATCGGTCCACTGGCAGCTTGGCACACAAGTCCTGCGGGCCGTAATTCAACTTTAATTCGTGGCAGAAATGGACCAGCCTCATATCAGGACGTGTTCTCTTCTGTTTATGTGTATTCCCACTGACCTTCTTGGCGCGCGATGATCAATGAACATTTCTAGCCACGGCGCTTTGGCCGTGTTCGACAGAAGTGTCCTTGGTTTACGACACGACATGAAGCTGGTCTTGACAGGCAGCTTCAGCACAGGAAATGGAGCAGTTCGGGAATCGTCTTGAGGCCGGCTGAGAGGTTTCGAATGGACATCTTGCCAGGCGTCATGCTTCGGTGAGTTCTGTTCATTTGAGCCGCATGCCATTGATTCTCATCTCTTAGGTAGCCATGGCTGGCATGCAAAGTTAAGACGTCCGCTTCGGTCAGCCGGCGATGGCAATTTAAGTGGTCGTTGCTTAAGCCTTCTAGTGGGGTTCGGAGGCAAAGAGGATACAGCTTGGCCGGGTTGTCTTGCAGTCAGTATTGAGCGGCGCGACGTTTACGCTCAGCTTCATCACCCCCGGCCCCTCGTCCCCAACTTAACATATCTCGTTTTGCGTCATGGCTTGACATCTGAAACTCATCATCAACTTGATCCTGCGTGGAAATGCCGATTGGCCTATAACGCATTCAAGATAAAACCAATGGATTACCCTGAGACAATGGCGTTTAGCTTGCAGCAAGTCTAAAGCTTCTTTCCCCCCTTGGCAAATGAACCCAAGGATTTCAAGGTAGATTTCCCATGATCGCGCATCAGCACAATTTCGACCGTCAATAGTGCCCGCTTAGGTGTGAGCATAGTCGCCGCTAAACTCGCTTTAGTTGCATTGGTTACGAGGTTTCAAGGCCCATAGGGAACATTGGCTTTGAAAGTTTCTTGTATCCCACACAATCCCCGCTTGTGCCTTACTTCCTTTGCACCCCAATCATCACCATGGAGATCGTCCAAATATCTGATAGCACAATGCCTGGCGTCGCCGCGCCATCGTCTGCCACATTGAGCGAGCGATTGACTCCAATCAAGCGCCGGGCTTCCATCGCGTGCCGTCGGTATGTTCCTCACAGCTGAATCTCATGCCCAGAAGCCCCAGACGCTGATCCAGCGTAGATGTCGACGTAAGCGCAGCAAGTGTCTGTCCAATAAGAACTCCCCATGCAAACTTTGCCTCGAGGCTGGCGTGCCCGAAGAGTGGTGAGTATCAAGCTTGCCCGTCTCATTTTCGGTTCCATGCTTATATTCCCGCATAGCAATTTTCCGTCCCGCGGAGATCCTGAAGATCGTTCCTTTCGTCACCCTCGACAAAGAGCTGATAGATGGCTTAAGGCGGGTACCTTCAGCGCCAAAGCAAAGCCTGTACCGATCTCCAGCCTGTACAATGTGCTTACCAACTCAAAGCCCCCCAAATGGGAGGATGAGTGGTCTCTCCTACCCGATATGCATATAATTCAGGAGAGCGTTTCCACTTTCGCTCTTCACTTCTTCCAACTCGGGTTCATTCATAAAGATCAGTTCTTTTTGCAGATCAAGCAGAATCCAGGATCCGGAAGCGCATTTCTGCTCCTGACTATTCTGAGTATTTCGGCAAAGATCAACAAGAAAATCCAGGCAGCCTGTGGACTGGGCCAGAACACAGACAAAAGGTTCATGAGGAGTGCCGAACGGCTCGCTATCGATGAGCTCTACAGACAACCAACCTTGGAGAGGTGCCAGGCTTTCCTTCTGTTGAGCATTTTGCAACAAGGAGATGGAAAATCTGACTCGAGTTTCGTAGGTTTTTGCAAGCAATGTCTGATAATATTTTAAGCTGACTACCCAGATTAACCTAGGAGTGGCTACAAGAATGGCCGTGCTCATGCGGCTACATCGCGAGGAGGCATATGAGTGGGTCGCACCAAGCTCATCATCTGAAGAGATCATACGCGCCGAGGCTGCTAGGCGAACCTTTGTAAGTTTGACTATGTATAACAACACTTTATCTTGATGGCGAAGTTTCGAGATAAAATATGATGCTAAGTCATCACTTGACATTACTCAGTTTCAGTTTTAGCTAATAAAGAACAGTGGCTACTAATCATCCAGGATAATTTGCATAGCGGTCCTTATAAGCCTGCGTGTATCGCCTTGAGCGAAATTTCCACCCTTTTACCATGCGATGAAGAACATTTCAGCAATGCCATCATCCCAAAGGACCGTTCTGCGCTGGAAGGGACAATTCCTGCCTTGCATCAACCACACCTCACCAATCTTTGCCGAGGGTCACTCTTCGCAACGCTCATCCAGACTCATTGCCTGTGGAGTACAGTGGCACGGTGTGTTGATGCGAATGACATGAATTTTCAGTCCGGGCACTACAGCAACGCATACTCAAGGCTCGTTGCCAAATTGAAGCACTTCGAAGAGAATCTTGTCCAGGGGCATAAGTTCGATATAAAATCTTTGGAAAGATACAGGGAAAACAATAAAGACTTAGTAAGCTTTCTGTACTCAACTTTTCTAGAGCTCGCTGGCTAATGAATCCTCACCATGCATTCTTGGGCTGTACTGCTAGCTTGCGGCTCTGCAATATAACCCTAAGGAAGGCATATGTGGATGAGTGAGCCAGATGCATCTTGCAACAGGGCAATTTCTAACCACGATTCAGAATGATTCTATCCACAGCAATCGAACCTCAAGATCTCAGCACACACGCTTACAGCCAAATTTCGGCAGAACTTATCGATAATGTCAGGTTGCTATACATGCAGCTTGAAGCACAGTATAGCGATGATCGAGCCCCCGAAGAAAGACCCGCGTCGCAAATGACCGTAGGTGACAACATGACCATTATACGCCATTAGACTGATAGAATGACAGGCATTATGCATGTACAATTGTGCCTTGCTGGCCATCTACATGTATAAGTTTCCTCACCGTGATCCTCATCTTCCTGCTACTTCTGCGTAACACAAGCTAAAGTCCTCTAGTTGATATACGTCGGCATCCTGACGAGATTCGCCTAGAAGGGGAAAGGATGTATCAAGGAATCGCCGTTTTCTTAGAAAAGGCTCAAGCCTTGTGGCCGCTAGCCGAGGTTTGGCTTTCGGAACTGAGACGTTGGTTCAAGGCCCCGCTCATCAATAGTGTCCGCTTAGAAAGTGGTATTATGAGTTATGGAGTAAGAAGACCCATTTCTCAGTGGATTATTACTTGCCCTTCTAACAGTGGGCAGCATAATCAACGGCCATATGCATTCCCGAATGCACCAACCCTGAGCCCTGCTCGGCAGACCAAGAAGCTCACTCAAAGTTGTACCAAATCAATCCTGCCGCAAACACTTCCCATGGGAATGAATACGATTCTGTCCGAACATAGCTCCCCGAGGTTGGCACCACCGCAGCATACGTCCCTGCACACAAGCTATGTAGAACCTGGTTCCTTGGCCCATGTATCTCCTTGCACACGCTTCAAGCAACTATCGCCGCCTGCGTATCAATTTTCCCATGTGTGTGGGGCTCAGCTGGAGCGGCCTGACAGGAACGAAGGTTTCCATGCGCTGTATCAAGGAGCCCGAGATCCGCTAGTAGACTACGACCAACTACAAGAGACGTGTCCCCTTACCTACGGTATCGGCTACCAGCCAACAACCATTCCAGATCATGAATTAGTATTTAATATGTAGCAGGAGTTGGCTACATCGTGGCCAGCACCTAATGCACCGGCCGATAGCTTCTATTCGTCAACCAGCCTATCACAGCACATCCCATGATATGGCGCGACCAGAGTAGGCCATATTAGACCACTACAACGTGAAGTAGGATGCAGAGAGCATTTCAAGCCCAAGGCTAGCTCGATCCTTCTCCGGGGTGGCGAAGAAAACAACAGTTGATCCTCAATACAGCTTCAAAACCGTTCCATATCCTAGAATTGTTCGTCTCAATGGACGTTTGGATGCTCCAACACTGCCAGTAGATCCCGGTTATTGGCAAAGTAGCAGGATGGCCGGCATAGCTTTTGAGAAGAACCGTGGATTACATGATGGTTTCTAGCATCCAGGTGGTCGTGGGTGCCGACAAGGTCTTCCGGAGGTGCTCAGCATCGAGACGAATTTTCGTGGGTGCGCACGAGGACTTGCTCGGAAGACGAGTCCATGAGTGGGTATTATAGTGGTCGCTAAAGAACGTTCCGTTTAGGGTCGGATCTGAAGGTCTGAGGTTGCGTAGAAGGGAGACTTCGATCTGTGGAAGTCCGCAGGGAGCCCGCTCACGCAAACGTTAACAATCCCTGCTGCAGTGGCTTTGCTCGATTTGAAGTTGTCAAATTCCTGGGTCACTAGGGTACATTGGCCGGACTTAAGCCGGAATTCTCCAAGTGGCTCTGCGGCGCGAATAGCCATTTCTCGCGAATGAAGGTCGTGCCGTTATTGCCGGCTGAGGTCGCGGATATTCTATTATTTAGACGGAGAAGGAGGCACCATCGTAGCCGACAGTTTAGATTGGGCAAGTGGTGGTTTACCTGTGCCATCATTCTACTTGTGCGCCTCGGATCACGGCCGTTCCATTGTCAGTTCTATCGCTATGTCTCGCGAAGTGCATGACGGTCGTTTTTTTTCGTCATGGAATCTACCCGCTGCGCTTATGCTAGAGCCAGTTCAAGTATGCCATCTGTTCGTGACTGGTTTGCTCTGGCGCTATCACCTGAGGTAGCCCGCCTGTCAGCGTACCGTTCGCAAAGTTTCTTGATAGAACGACTTGACCAGGTGACTAACATCGCGCAGAGGATTCTACTCATTTCGATAGTTCGCTCAAGGATCCTGTTGGTGCCTCGGGCTCCGTTCTGACAAGGTCAAGCTCTTTCCAGCATGAGCTACATTCCTGGTCGAAGGCCGATGGGCGATACCACAAACCCTGGGCACGACAACCAAATGTGCCGTTATTTTTGGATTCGAGACAAGGTAGCTTCAAAGCTAGGGACTTCCATACAAAAAGACTTGCCACACTCAAGACAGACTCCTGCCAGCTGCAAGTAGTATATCGTTACGAGCTGCCCCAAAGGTCTTATATCCGTATGTTCAACAACGACGTCTCTTTCTGGGCTTTTGCCGGCACGGTTGCAATTGTGCAAGCAATGCGGGACTCAAATCCTTTCCATCTGACCAAACAGCTTCAGAAGAGGGGCGGCCCTTCTAGTAGATGCGGTATCTGGTTCTCCCACTGTCTCCCAGCGCGGGCCATTTCCACGCCGTCCTGGTATCCCGAGTAGTTGTTCTCGACGGCCTCAAGTAGATCATCGTCCAAGATATCACTTCGCGGCACCCACGACGAGGAACCATCTTCTAACTACCTAACGAGAAACGCATCTTTCTTCCATCTCTCCAGTATACAGTCGATAGCATAGCTAGGAGGCTCTGGTGTGCTTTCTCGGTGGCCCGTAGCATCACCCGGGGTACCTCCGCCTGGCGCTAATGGACTGCAGGCTTCTGGTATCGAGGCCGGTGGCGATGGTAGTCCGTGCAGCAATGCGCCATCGACCAGGGGGCGGATATCACCCTTGATTCTCATTGCCATTGGTCTGTCTACGAGACTGTGGCTTGGATGCGTCTACGAAAGCACCAATCTACTATAGTACAAATCACAAGCCAGGATAATTGCTGGAAGGACAGGATAGGCGGGGGTGGCAGCCAAGCCGCAGCCGGACCACATCAAACCACTCGGTCCAAGGCATTTCGTGATCTGCGTCGAGATATCGACCGAGGCGAGTCTTTACCACGTTTGGAAAGCTCGCTTCCCTATCATGTGGCTACACATTATTATGGAGTACGTAGCGCTTAGTATAAAGGATCTAGCGACGAGTCTTACTAGTCGTGACGAGAAAGGATCTAGCGACGAGTCTTACTAGTCGTGACGAGACAGCGGTTATTCAGCAATGGTCTAGGATTGAGAAGGCTGCGTTAGACCTAGGCTTCAAAGATGACCTACCCTCCGCCATTCAGGCTCCTGACGCCCGATCTAGCATGAGCATTGCCATGTGAATGACAACAAAGGCGGGACTATTTTCTTGTTATGTACTAGGATATGGGCCGAGAACTAAGGAATGCTTTATGTCCTCCGTAGCTCTTATAGCCTTGCTGGTCGAACACGCGCACCGCATGTCAAGTCAAAAGATGGAACGACAGTCACAACCTACTAGAACTCATCAAATCTGGCATGCCACCAAACACTAGCCCTCGTCCACGTATAGCCACACCGCAACTCCCCCAAACATCTTGCTTTCTTCCCAATCGACGACGCCGACCACCCCGTTTGAAACTCTGCAGCGCTCTGGTCTTATCTGTCGTGTTTTTTTTTTATGTCTCGCAGCTCTCTCAAGCCACTTACTTGCATCCAGTATCTTGCTAGCTTACATCCCGACGTCTCCTCTGCCAGTCGAGTCCCTTCCTTCAGAAGCACATCACCAACGCCCTCGCCTACTTAAAATGCCTCGTGACTGGTGGGTCGCATCGACTTATCCACCGTCATCATTCTTACTCGTGCCCGCCGCCTACGCAGCTCGAGACTGCTGCGCACGTTTGGCGAAGCGTATGGGACGTCTCATTCCCCTTGTTCCACTCTCACCGTAACAAACTGCTGCTTATCCCGATGGTGGCGCCGGCTACACTTGACTGTAGGCGATGGCCCTAAGTACAAAGGGGTCCTACAAAACGAAGAGGGTTGTATGACCTGCGAAAGATCCATGCTCACCAAGTCGTTGCTCTGGCTTGATGGGACGCTTTGTGCCTAATCTCCCTCGCTTGGGTGACGGAATGTCTACATTACCGACCGACCAGGGGAACTCGCACGGTTCTGTGGGAATACTTAGTTATTTGTTCTCGCTACTCGTTCGTGTAGCTAGCCAGCGGATAGAGTATCTAGTGGGCCTTGGGCCCTGGCCACGCATCATCAGTAAGCATCTTCTTGCTCAATATCCCACCCAGATCCATGACATCCCGGCCCTGACGTAGACAATCGAATTGTATTACACAGTAAGATACCCGATACCCGGTAGCCAGCAGAGTGATGTTCCTCTTCTTGT